CATAATTGCCATAAGCTTCGAAAAGCAATTTATGAGCTGCAGCTGCAGTTTTTTTCAAGTCAAAGTAATGAAGCAGCACATGTCAAAACAACTTATCACGTTCCATATTTAATCAAAAGAAAAAATAGCACTGCTCGCTTAAATGAATCTTTTCGCACTGAATTTTATTGACAAATGTCTAACCTCTAAAATGCAGCCAGTTTCAGATGTCAAAATAAATTACACCTACAACTAACGTCATCTAACTGTGAGCCGCAGGAGCTAAGTTTACCACCTAATATATATAAGAAAAAAAAAAATATAATATTCTCTCTTTGTAAATAAATAATGTGCACAAATACAACTTGCAACTATTTACAAAATTAAAGATACTCTTTACACTATTTTTTACAAAAATAAACTGACATTTCCCTAGTATTGATTTTTATAACGATAGCCAATAGCGAAAAATTGTGTTGCAAAGTCCTAACTGCGTATTATTTGGGTATTGAAATAATATTCGAAAGAGTAGAGAATGGATATCTAGGTAGAATCAAATATTTAGATACAAATTAGATTACAAATATCCAAATTAAGGCTCCTGGTTTCTCGTCGTGGAATTTTTGGTTGATGTCAGAAGCAGGCAAATGTATGCCTAAAATTTTTGCGCAACATTTTCAAATGAAAAGATAGTTGTATGAAAGAACATTTCAGATTATTCGATCGTACTTGTAAAATACTCCCATAATTATTTTATTTTGATAGTCCACAAATAGCCATAAAATTAATGTGACATACAATATTCCTCATTAATAAGGTGATCCATTATCCCAAATTTTGTGGTATATTTTGGCCTTTTATAGAGACGTTCCGAAAATACTCGGGATACCATATATTACGATTTCTTATATAAAATATTTCTTATATAAAATAAAATAAATAATATATAATTTTATATTATAAAATTAAATACAATAAAATTTTTATGATAATAAAATTTTATTATTTCATATTGTTTGTGTGATAAGAAAAGTGTATTTTATATTGATTTTTTATTGTTTTTATGTTCCATTGATAATTATTTTTTGATCTTAAGAATTTTACAAAGAGCCCGGCCAAAATGTTCCCCAAAATAGGGCGGTTGAATTTGGGGTCTCATGGAAGAAGAAGTTGTATCTGGACGAGCTGAAAACGAAATGGTGCTTTTTACGTTGCACT